TTTGACAGGTAGAGCCACAGACAGAGAGAGAGAGACAAAGATAAAGGTCCTCCCTTTCTGGTTCACTCCCCAAATGGCCGCAATGGCTGGAGCTATGCCGATCTGAAGCTAGGAGCCAGGTGCTTCTTCCTGGTCACTCATGCAGGTGCAGGGGCCCAAGCACTTTGGCCATCCTCCACTGCCCTCCCAGGCCATAGCAGAGAGCTGTACTGAAAGAGGAACAATCAGGACTAGAACCGGTGCCCACATGGGATGCCGGCACTGCAGGCAGAGGATTAACCTAGTGTACCACGGTGCCGGCCCCCATAAGTTTTGATATGTTGTATTGTCATCTTAATTTGTTACCAGAATTTTTTTATTTCTCTTTTGATTTTTTTCAATGACTCACTGTTCATTCAGGAGCCTGTTGTTCAGTCTCCATGTGTTTGCATTTGTTCTCAAAATTCCTGAGTTGTTGATTTCCAGCTTCTTTCCATTGTGGTCCAAGAAGATGCATGATATGATTTTGATTTTTTTGAATTTTCTGAGACTTGCTTTGTGGCCAGCATGTGATCAATCCTAGAGAATGTTCCATGCACTGGTGAGAAGAATGTGTATTCTGCAACTGTAGGATGGAAAGTTCTGTAGGTATCTATGAGGTCTATTTGGTCTATAGTGTTGATTAACTTTGTTGTGCCATTGCTGCTTGTCCAGTTGATCTGTCTATTGATGAAAGTGGGGTGTTGAAGTCCCCCATTACTATTGTATTGGAGTCTCTGTCTCCCTTGAGTACATTAACATTTCTTTAAATAGCCAGGTGTCCTGTAAGTGGGTGCGTTTACATATATTATAGTCATATTTTCCTGTTGAATTGGCCCCTTAATCATTACATAGTGCCCTTCTTCATCTCTTCTAACAATTTTTATGTTAAAATCTATTTTTTCTGATATTAGAATGGTACCACCTCCCCTTTTTTGTTTTCCATTAGCATGGAATATCTTTTTTCATCCTTTTACTTTCAGTCTGTGGGTATCTTTGTGAGATGTGTTTCTTGTAGATGGTCTTGTTTTCTAATCCATTCAGCTACTCTGTATCTTTTAACTGGATAGTTGAGGCCATTTACATTCAATGTGACTATTGATAAGTAATGTCTTGATCCTGCAGTTTTTCCATAAATATTCCTGTTGTTTACTTTGGATTTCCTCTATACTTTTACTAGAGGTTTTTTCTGCCTTCACCTTCTTTTGTAGTGATGACAGTGCTTCTGTGTTTTTGTGTGTAGCACATCCTTAAGCAACTCTTGAAGGCTGGATGAGTGGTGACAAATTTTTTCAGTTTCTGTTTGTTATGGAAGGTCTTTATTTCACCTTCATTCATAAATGAGAGCTTTGCAGGGTACAGTATTCTGGGTTTACTGTTCTTTTCTCTCAAAACTTGTACTATATCTCAACAATCGTTTCTAGCCTTTAGGATTTCTGATGAGAATTCACCTGTGAGTCTAATTGGAGATCCTCTGGAAGTGATCTGTATTTCTCTCATGCACATTTTAGAATCTTTTCTTTATGTTTTACTGTGGAAAGTTTTACTGCATTGTGTCATAGTGAAGATTTTTTTCTGGTTGTATCTATTAGGAGTTCTACATGCTTCCTGTACTTCGTTGTCCCTTTTTTCCCCAAATTAGGGAATTTTTCTGTAATTATTTCACTAAAAAGGCCTTCTAATCCATTCTGTCTTTATATGCCTTCAGGAACTCCTAAGACCTGTATGTTGTGTCATTTGATAGTATCCCATAGATCTCCAACAGTGTTTTTAAGTTTTCTGATTTCTTTTTCTCCTTCCTCCTCCTCTTCTCCTTCTCCTTGCCCTTCCCCTTCTTTCTCCTCCTTCTCATCCTCCTCTTCCACCTCCATCTCCACCTCTGCTTCCTCTTTTTTTTTTTGTTTGATTGTAAAATTTCTAGTGATTTTTCTTATAACTTGGATATTCTTTCTTCTGCTTCACTGAATCTGGCTTTCCACCACATTTTTTATTTGTTCTTTTGAATTCTTTATTTCCAAGGTTCATTTTGATTTCTCTTTAAGATTTCAATTTCATGGGAAAAATTTTCTTTCATGTAATGTACAGATTTCATCAGTTCTTGGATTTGCTTTTTATTACTGATAAGTAATCCTACTATCAGTTTTTTGAATTCTGTTTCTGGCATTTCTTCAGTCTCTTCATCTTCACATTCTAGTATTGATATGTTGTATTCTTTTGGGGGCATCATGTTGTCTTATTCTTGTTTTTTGAATGGCTGCATTTATGTTTAGGCATTTGTGGAGATATTCATTGGTTTCTTTTTTGTTTTGTTTTGTTTTCCCCTGTGATGGCTTTTATTTTTAGATTATTCCTCTGTGGCTTAGTGGAGTGTCCAGTTTTTCAGTGAATACCTAGAGGTATGTGGTGGGTGTTACCAGGGAGCTCCGTTCAGTGACCCAGTATGACAGAAGTATCCAAGGTGACACCCAGGTTAGGCATGGTAAGTCTCCTCGTTTGTTTGTTTGTTTTTTAATCAGAGGGGAGATTTGTTCTGACCTATTGGTGTAGTCTCATGATCACCTCCTCTGCACAAAGGAGACCAATGCCTGGGTGCCATCCCCAGTGGGTATAATGTTTGTCCATGCTGCCACAAGAACCACACAAAGGATCCATGCAGTCCTCAGTGTAAGCATGGATTCTGCAGCAATGACCCTCACCAGGAAATCAGGGAGCTTCAAGCACATGGAGCCTCTCAGAGTCACTGCCTGAAGTCCCAGCCACACCCTTAGCCCTCCCACACAGCCACAATATTTTCACAGTCTGGGCACACAGCCTCCCATGGTCACGAGCACCCAGCCCCCTGTCAGTTGTTTCCATTGGGCCAGTTGCTGGGTATGCGGACACAGAGCTGGCACAGCTGTTACTTAGTGTCCAAAATGGTGCCTGCACTCTCCTGGCTTGTTACAGAACATTGCTGCAGGGTGATCAGGGAGAAACATGCCCCCTTCCCTTTTTTCCTCCTCTAGTTTGGGAGGTGCACTGTCCCCCACAGGGCTCTGAGCCAGATTCCTGCCAAGCTATTCCTGCAGCTTTATCACCAGTGGCTTGGGGTCCTGCAGCCTTATCTCACCTCATTCCAAAGCTGGTACTGAGGTTCTCGGTTGCTGGAGTCCTGAGTTGTGCATGTCCATTCCCTCCATGTAGTTCCACAGTGTCTCTCTACTTTGTGTGGGGTTTCTTCTGCCATTTTCTCCCTAACTCTTCGCTGAGACTACACTGTCTCCACTTTTTAAAAACTGTCTTCTTCTAGACTAGAGCAGTAAGCTCCCTCCGTATTCTGCCATCTTGCATCCTCCGGCTTACTGATTTTTTTTTGAAGGATTGAAATAATAAAAAGTTTATTCTCTGATCACAATAGAATGAAAGCAGAAATCATTAGCAGAGCAAATTTGGAGAATTTAAAAGTATGTAGGAATTAAACAATCTTTTCTTAGCCAGTGTCACAAGAAGTCACACTGGAAATTAGGAAATACAGAAAATTTGAGGTAAATGAAGAGGAAAACAAAACATACTAAAACATAGATGAAGTGAAGACAGAGGTCAAAAGGAAGTGTATGTCTGCAAAAATAGTCCTATGGGAAAATTTATAACTGTAAATGCCTCCATTAAGAAAGAATAATCTCAAATCAATAAACGAACTTTAAATCACAAAAATGTTAAAAAGGAAGAGCAAATGAAACCCAAGGCAGTCAGAGGAAATAATGAAGATTACAGGGGAAATAAGTGAAATAGAGACTAGCAAAACAAGAGATGGATGAATTCCTAGAAATACAAACTGTACACCAGGAGAAGTAAACTGTTACTTTGTTTGGTAGTGCTCTGTACAGGGTCACTGCCCATCCAAATCACTGATGTAATACCTGCTGTGCTGTCACAGATGACAATGCAAATGGCAGCTTCTCTCTCCTTTAGCTCAGAATCTGTGAACCCTGTTGGACCCAAGATCTTTCCATGATTGGTGTTTAGTAGCATCCCTTTACCATAGTGAAGTAACAGTCACAGTTAATATAACCAACTTACACAGAACATTGCAAAAAAATCAATATAATATTCCAACTGGAAAATGAGGAGAATTGAAAGTGGTTTAGAATAAAATGATGTTTGTATCACTATGTAAAGGTTGGGCAGAATGAAGCACTTAGATGTGTTGTGACTTTTTTAAATGGCAAACAGGTCTTGGTAAAGATTCATACAAAACAAAATACAGTGGTTCCTTGATTTACGCAATACCTGCATTTCTTGGAAATTCAATATATTTTAAAATCATGCAAAATATGCTGTATGTTTACATGTAGCATACGGTTAGGCTCTTGGCTCATATAATTGTAGAATAGTCTTTAGCCTACAAGAATGTTTGGTAGAATATTAGCAGATTACAAAGAATGGGGAAATTGTTCTGTGTGCAAAGTGTCATGAGTGCTACAGGACACCCTTGCTGCCTGGGTGTACACTACTTTTGCAGTGTTCCCACAAATATCCCCAGTGCCCTCTGGGTTGGTTCCACCCCTTCTAAGACTTGTACCTCTCACTGTTCTCTTAGTCATTAGCATCCCTATATCACAGAACACATAGAACTGCAGTCTAAACATAACCTTCATGTATACAGGGCTGGGCCTACCATGTTGTTGTTCTATTGGAGGCTAAGGTTTGCTCTTATTAAACATTTGTTGAAGGAAAGAATGGAATGGAAGAAAGATTTTCTTGTTCTGTTTTATAAGGCAACGCTTCGGTCTTTTTTCTCTACTATGACTTAGGATGTTTTAAAAATGTTATCCATAAGGTTCAAAATAAAAATTATTCTCCTCTGGAATAATGTTTTGCTGAGATTGAAAAGTCTATTTTTATCTGAGTGCCAACTCTGCTGTCATCTGTCCAAACTTTTATTTTGCTAAGCCTAGGGATGTAGAGGTGAACACTTAACACTTTTGCTCCTTTCTTTCTAGTGTGGGAAGAGTTGGCTTACTACGAAAAAAACACACGGGATTTTCTTTTCCCTGAGCCCAAGCTGACGCCCCCGCACCCTGGGATATATCGGGAGGTGCTCATGAAGACAGCCATAGGTTTTCCAGTAAGTAGATTCTTGCCCAGCTGGACTTTGGGTAGGAGGGAGATTCCTGGGACCTAAAAGTTTTACTCTGCCAGGCTTGGTCATGGACCTGTGGCTTTATCTTGGTTAGGACCACTGTTGTCTGCTTAGTGACCCTACTGGGTTTCTAACTCAGGATACCAAATTTTATACTGATTTCCACTGTTAATCTGAGAGATGGAAGTGTTGTTACTGTATCAGACTGAATCATTGCCATACTGTGTCACATAGTTATAAAAAGGTTATTTCATCCTCCTCTTATTGCAGCTTAACAGAAGGGTTAGTCATAACTGTTGTGACTAAAGTAACATTAGTAGTGATGTTATTACTCCTTATTTATTTTTTGCTTCCAGTTTTTTATAAACACTATTTTCCTTCAGATTAGCCAAGGCAAACATTGTACTGTCCATTAAATAGAGAGGAAACTGACAGGTAATTGATAATTACTGAAGGGTCTTAAAGTCCTATGGGAAAATTTATCAACTGTTACACATTACAACATTGGATATTAAAAAATATCCAATAGATATTCAGTTGATAATCTGTTTGGGGACAGTTATATGAATCCAAGTGAAAAATATTCATTTTGATGTTTATCTGTGATGATTTCTGTTGCCATAACTATTTTCTCAACTTTTATGTCACTTGACTACATTTTTTAAAGGTTTATTTATTTATTTGAAAGTCAAAGTTACACAGAGAGAGGAGAGGCAGAGAGAGAGAGAGAGAGAGAGAGAGAGAGAGAGGTCTTCCATTCTCTGGTCCATTCCCCAACTGGCCACAATGGCCGGAGCTGCACCGATCTGAAGCCAGGAGCCAGGAGCCTCTTCTGGGTCTCCCACATGGGTGCAGCAGCCCAAACACTGGCACTTTCTTCTACTGCTTTCCGAGGACACAGCAGAGAGCTGGATCAGAAGTGGAACAGCCAGCTCTTGAACTGGCACTCATATGGGATGCCTGCACTACAGGCAGTGGCTTTACCCACTACGCCACAGTGCCGGCCCCCTTGAATATGTTTTTTAAAACTTATTTTTAATAGAATGGTCTCCATTGTAAGAGCCAGATTTTTGTAAATTATGAAAAACATATTTACTATTCAACTTTTTTCCTGCCCCATGAGTTGTTTTTGTTATTACTTAATGAATTGTCATTGTTTCTGCTTTGTTGGTGGACAGTGCAGAGCATGTAACACGCAGGACCTCTGTTTCCAGGATGTTTATGATGACACAAATTTCTAAGTCTAACACTGCAAACAGTAAGCATTCATCAGAGGGTCTCCTAGTCAAAATTTCTAATGGCTATAACTTTAAGCCCTTTATTGTCTTTGGGGACTTGAAAAATATTTCTGAAACCATTTATTTTTCTCTGTAATCTGTGTATCAGTTATAGCCATCATGCCTGTGAGACGCTTGCCTTTGTTATTTTGAGTTGTTGGAATATTGCTCTTCAAAAACTAAAAGGGAATAAAAAAGGATGAGAATCAGGTGGGGCACACTCCGTTATCTAGAGTTTCCCTTTCAATAAAAGCCATCTGCAAGTACTAGGCTGCTCTCCAGCTAAGTATCAAGAGAAGGAAAAACACATTTCTATTTTCTCAAGTGTTGTCTCTTAACGTTCTTGGCATAAATCCTAAAGACAAGAGGCTGTGTTTATAGTGCTTTTCATAAATACAGGTCATCATTAGAGAAAGGCTTTAAAAATGTGTGGAAATACTGCCATGCCTCATAAATAAAGTATTGATTCTACAATTAAGTCAATCAGACTATATTTTAAACAATTTGTAAAAACATAGAGGGGTTCAATCTCTCTCTCTCTCTCTCTCTCAAAAAAGGCAAAATAAACCAAGCAGCAAATTTTTTAAAAAAAATAACTGATAGGGCCGGCGCCGCGGCTCACTAGGCTAATCCTCCGCCTAGCGGCGCCGGCACACCGGGTTCTAGTCCCGGTTGGGGCGCCGGATTCTGTCCCGGTTGCCCCTCTTCCAGGCCAGCTCTCTGCTGTGGCCAGGGAGTGCAGTGGAGGATGGCCCAGGTGCTTGGGCCCTGCACCCCATGGGAGACCAGGAGAAGCACCTGGCTCCTGGCTCCTGCCATCGGATCAGCGCGGTGCGCCGGCCGCATTGCGCCGGCCGCGGCGGCCATTGGAGGGTGAACCAACGGCAAAGGAAGACCTTTCTCTCTGTCTCTCTCACTGTTCACTCTGCCTGTCAAAATAAAATAAAATAAAATAAAATAAAATAAAATAAAATAACTGATAATCACTCTACTTCCTAAAATAGCAGGCTAGCAGGCCGTGTGCTGCGCTCGCTCTATGGGTTATCAGAGCTACTCCTCCTTGGCTTTGCCAGGTGGCTACCATTGTTTTGCCATTTTATGGGTGGGAAAGCTGGTGCAAGGGGTTTCAGAAATGTACCCAGAGCCTGGAAATAATGGAGCAGGGATTCCCTCAGGTGAGCACTCTCAGTCCCTGCACGACACTGATTCTCTGATATTTATTCCATCCCACTATCCTATTTCTTTTCTTTATGATGGGAAGTGGGAATGAATACATGTACAAGTCAGGCAAGTCATTCATTTATTTTCTCATCAGTTCATTAATAATTATATTTGTTTCTTCACTAAAGTGTGACTTTTGGTATTATCATTCTAGAAACGAAGATTATACTGTAAACTCTCTTATTTACTTAACCATCATCACCAATATCCCTTTGCTAAGGTGATTAGATAAAATTTAATATCTATGCTGTTATGCTAGGGTGAGGTCTGCACTGCCACAATGAGTCCGTGACTCATTGCCAGGAGTACAGGCATTACAGGGTGTGGATTCCTTCCTGGAAGGGGACATCTGTCCTCATATCTAGGCAACGTGGATGAGGAATTTGAGAAACATGTGTAACAATTGAATGTGAAGTCAGATTGTCTGGCTCAATCCTAGTTTTGTCACCCGATGGCTGTGAGATTTTGGGTGAATTAATCTCTGTGTGCCTCAGTTTCCTCATCTGTAAAATGGTTCTGTAATAGTATATCCCTTACAGGATTATTGTATTAAATGAAGTACTGTGCCCATATGTGTACTTTTGCCATAATGCCTAGTATTTGGTTAAGTGCATAATAATGTGGCCTTTAGTACTCGTATTTATTGTGCCATCATATGATGGTCAATACTGCATCCCTGTGATGCAATAAAAAGACTGTACGAGTCTGTCTCAAGAGGTGACTTGTTCAGGCTTAGCCTACTAGGTCATGGGGGACCCTGGGCTTGGCACACCTTGTAATTCCACCAGTAGCACTATGGACCCTGGAGCTCTCCCCCACTCTCTTCTTCACACGGTCAGCTTTGATAACAGAAAGGCTGCTTGAGTCATAATAGTGTACGTTCTTTATCATTTGCCCGCTGGATTGTCTGACCCTGTATAGCAACTGGGCCCCTGTGTTTATAAGCCCAGACAGTTTTTCATGAGTTTCCGATACAGACCTTTTACTGCTGTGGGAATGCTGTGCACCCTAGACCCAAGGATGTAGGTTGCATCTATAAGCATTTGTTGCATATAAAGATGAATGTGCACAGGAATAAATGAATGTGTGGGAAACAGGCTGACCTGTTCACCCATAGCATGGAATAAGGAAAGGAAGTGGGCTTTGTAATGTTGCAGCATTTCAAACTCTGGCTCTACTGATCCTAACTATGTGCCACTGGCTAGACTACTCAGATTTCTGCCTGTTCCTCATGTGTAAAATGGGGATACAGTTGTCTACACTCCACAGGCTTTATGAGGAGCAAGCGAGATTACACATGTGAAAGCCCCTAAGTGCACTTGGCCCATGCAGAGAGCATGCAGAAAATGATAGCTTTCTACTTTTCTAGAGCTTCAGCTGGTGCACATCCATTTTAGAAGCACCTGAAGCCAGGGCCACGGCTCATTAGGCTAATCCTCCACCTGTGGCACCGGCACCCCGGGTTCTAGTCCTGGAAGGGGTGCCGGATTCTGTCCTGGTTGCTCCTCTTCCAGTCCAGCTCTCTGCTGTGGCCTGGGAGTGCAGTGGAGGATGGCCCAGGTGCTTGGGTCCTGCACCTGCATGGGAGACCAGGAGGAAGCACCTGGCTCCTGGCTTCAGATCGGCGCAGCGCTGGCCATAGCAGCCATTGGGGGGTGAACCAACGGAAAAAAGAAGACCTTTCTCTCTCTCTCTCTCTCTCTCTCACTGTCTAACTCTACCTGTCAAAAAAAAAAAAAAAAAAAGAAGAAAAAAGAAGCACCTGAAATGTAAGTCACATAAATGAAAGTGAAATGTGAGAGACAAGAGGGAGAGGACACTTTGAGAAATGGGTAAGATTTGGATGGGAAAGAAGAGAGAGAAGGCATCTCTGAGACAAGAAATGCTTGACCAAGTTGTATTCACTAGGGGAGATTACTGAAGAGGGGTCCTGCTCAGAGAGGCTAACAGTGAGTTGTTGAGGTCAGCTGGAGACAGTTGGAACTCAGTCGGACCCAGATCCTGTTCCTGCTGTGCCATTTATAAACCATAAACCTTAGAGGAGATTGCTTTCTGTGGGGAGCAACTTGGACTAGACTAAGTTACTCAAATTAAGACTTATTCTATGCATCTGCTCTCCCACAATATGGCGCTGGGAGAGGAGTAAACAGCTCCTGCACAGCTGCCTCCAGTTTGACCAATAACCTGCAGGAGCTGATCCTGCTCCTGATTGGAGGAGAGCAGCATGCTCGGCGTGTGGGTAGCAGAGTTGGGATTGGTGGAAGAGGACTATAAAGGAGGAGAGAGACAACATGCACCAGGAACATCTAAGGGGAACATCTGGATAACATCTGAGCAGCCCCCGAGAGAGCCGGCCAGCGGTGTGCCACTCCCCCGCGGAAGTGGGGAAAGTGGCAGGGGGAACCGCCCTTACACGGAGGTGGAAGGATCGGCAGCCAGCCAGGGAAGGACCAGCAGCAAACCCGGGGAGGGCCGAGCAGACGAAAGAACAGCGCAGGGTCCAGTGTTGTTCCTCCGCGAAGAGGGGGAGCGACAGCTTTCTATCTTTTTTTTTTTTTTTGACAGGCAGAGTGGATAGTGAGAGAGAGACAGAGAGAGAAAGGTCTTCCTTTTGCTGTTGGTTCACCCTCCAATGGCCGCCATGGCTGGCGTGCTGCGGCCGGTGCACCATGCTGATCCTAAGCCAGGAGCCAGGTGCTTCTCCTGGTCTCCCATGGGGTGCAGGGCCCAAGCACTTGGGCCATCCTCCACTGCACTCCCGGGCCACAGCAGAGAGCTGGTCTGGAAGAGGAGCAACCGGGAAAGAATCCGGCGACCTGACCGGGACTAGAACCCGGTGTGCCAGCGCCGCTACGTGGAGGATTAGCCTATTGAGCCGCGGCGCTGGCCTGCTTTCTATCTTTCTAAGCCTCAGATCTTTTGGAAAGACAGTTGTACTGTTAAAATCATCATATAGTAAAGTGGTCTTTTTTTGAGTATACCATTCCATGAATTTTAACATATGTACAGATTTGTGAAACCACAATGGTCAGGATATAGAACAGTTGCATCATCACCCAAATCTCCTTATGTTTCCCCTTTATAGATACACCCTCCTTAAACCGCTATCTGCACTCCATCACTGTAGTTTTTTTTTTTTTTTTTTATAACATCATATACAGGTAACCTTTTGAGACTGGCTTCTCACATTTGCATTAATGCCTTTGCGATTCATCTATGTATTTGTGTTAATAATTGTTTCTTTGTTGTTGCTGAGTGGATTCCATTATAGATTCGCTCATAAAGAATATTTGAATTGCTTTTAGCTTTTATACATTTCTCAGTTTTATCGTCTGTAAAATGGGATAATGATAATTATACCTACTTTGCAGCATTGAAAGAATTGAATAAGGTAGATTATAGATGAAGGTGCTTCAAAAGGTCGTGGAAAATGGGATTAAAAGTTAAGGTTAGGAATGTGTTGAGCCTAGTAATTAAGATGCTTGCATTCCATACTAGAGTGCCTGGGTTCGATACCCACTGCTACTTCCAGCTCCTGGCTGCAGCTTCATGCTGATGCATGTCTTGGGAGGCGGTAGTAAAGGTTGCTGTCACTCATGGGGAGATCTGGATTGAGCTGACTCCCAGCTGGGGAGTGAACTACCAGAAAAGGATGCTACCTATATGCCTGTCTCTGTCTTTCTCCACCCTCCATCAAATAACAGTAAAGAATAAGAAAGATACATTTATTTTGGTACAAAATGAACAATTTTGTACCAAAATGAACTTTTGTTTTAAGAAAGTTTTGTTTATTTATTTGAAAGGCATAGTGAGAGGGAGACACACATACACACACATAGATAGATCGATTGATCGATCGATCGATCTTTCATGTGCTAGTTGGCTCTCTAAATGCCTATAACAGCCATCAGCCAGGGCTGGGCTAGGCCAAAGCCACAAGCCCACATGGTTGCAGGAACACAAGCATTTAGGCCATCATCTTCTAACTCCCAGGTATGTTAGCAGGAAGCTGGATTTAAGCAGAGGTAGGACTTAATCCCAGGCACTCTCATATGGTGTGCAGGCAATCCGAGATGTGACTTAACTTGCTGTGCCATACAGCCCACTCCAAATGTGTCATTTGATTCCATTTTCCTATAAACTTCTTGAAGCACCCTCATATTTAACACAACAATTGAGACAGTATGGTAAGATAAAGACAGTAGCAATTTATTAAACAAAAGGAAGTGTTGGAAATAGATCTAGTGAACATAAACGTTTAATAGAAGACATAAAGCAAGCTTTTTTAAAAAGATTTATTTGAAAGCAGCGATACAGAGAGGAGAGAGAGAGAGAGAGAGAGAGAGAGAGAGAGAGAGAGAAGAGACTGAGAGAGATCCTCCATCTGCTGGTTTACTCTCCAAATGGCTGCAACAGCCAGGGCTGGGACAGGCTAAAGCCAGGAGCCAGGAGCTTCCTCCAGGTCTCCCACATGGGTGTAGCAGCCAAGTGCTTCGGCCATCTTCCACTGCTTTCCCAGGCCATTAGCAGAGAGCTGGATTGGAAGTGGAGCAGCCAGGACTTGCACCGGTACCTATATGGGATGCCGGCACTGCAGGCGGAGGCTTTACCCACTGTGCCACAGCGCTAGCCCCTAAAGCAGGTTTTTAAAAACAGGTAGGAGGGAAGGAGAACCTGTATCCATCCCTTCACCTAGGTAATATCATTCAATTCCATGGCCCAGTGTTTTTCTTATTTATTTTAAAGGTATCAATTTTATTTATTTATTCATTTATTAAAAGTAGAAAGAAAAAAATACAGAAAGACAGAGTTGTTCTATCTGCTGATTCATTCCCCAAATGCTTGCAATACCAAGACTGGGCCAGCTCGAAGCCAGAAGCCTGAAACTCAGTCCAGGTCTCCTACATGGGTGGCAGGGACCCAAGCACTTGAATCATCCTCCCCTGCTTCCCATGGTGCACATCAGCAGAAGGGTGAATTGCAAGCAGAGTAGCCAGGACTTGTGCTAAGCACTCTTGTGTAGCATGTGGGTATCCCAAGCAGTGACCACTGCTTCAAACACCTGCCCCTTATGGTCCAATATTTTACCTAGAGTCGCTATCAGCAGCCACCAGGGCTGGACTGAGTCCAGTTAGTAGCTCTGTCATTAATAGATGGACAAGTTACTTAAACTATCTTAGTTTATTCATCTACATAATGAAGATATACTACAAGGACCTATCTTATGGGGATTAAATAAGTATGCAAATATAGAGTACTGAGGCCTTGGTTACATACATAATACACATTACATAAGTGTTCCACTGTTGTTATCTCATATATATTTTAGATAATATGTGCAGATTATGCCATCACACAGAGGAATAGTTAGGTTTTGCATGATTGCATGTCAGGATGAGATAGGCTATGAACTATTTCCAGTGAACTTTGCATCTTTTCTGCTACTTTATTTTTAGGGCATTGCTCCCAAACTAGAGTTTGCTACAAGGACAGCCATCCGAGAATGTGTGTTTCTACATAGAAACAGATTTCTGGTAAGTACAGTTAAAAAAAAAAGGCCACAAAAGCACAATGATGGAAATGGTAGGAATTTCTCCCTCAAATTTATTTTATTTAGTTTTGTTTTTCAAAATTTATTTTTTATTTAATTGAAAGAGAGTTGCTCTCTGCTGTCCTACTTTTCAAATGTCCACAACAGCCCCCAGTTTCAGCTAGGACTGAAACTGAGACTCAGGAACTCAAAACAGTCTGCCATATGGGTGGCAGGAACCCAGTCACTTCAGCTTCACAGTCTGTATTATGAGGAAACTAAATTCAGGAGCAAGAGCATCTCCCTCAAATTTAAAGAATCTTAACCCAAATTTGATTTACCTTGTATAGATGAAATTGAACAAACAGAAACCTGGAAAAGTTTTACTAGGTTTTAACTTCTTCTTTTAGCAAGGAGTTTCTTCTGAGTCTTCCATGTGAGTGCAGGGGCCCACACTTGGGCCATCTTCCACTACTTTCCCAGGCCATAAAGCAGGGAGCTAGATCAGAAGAGGAGCAACTGGGACACAAACTGGCACCCATATGGGATGCTGGTGCTGAAGGCAGAGGTTTAGCCCCCTTCACCCTGATGTCTTTTGTTTTCTTTTACCTTATTGTTCGTAATTTCGTAGCTATCTAAAATCCTTTCTAGAACAAAATGGAGAAGTTATGAAGGTAATTTGTAAAGCTTCTTCAGATACTTTGGGACAAGGTAGAGTAACATTGGTAAGTGAAATAATACATCTATCCTAAATCTCACCTTTGGTCCTGGAAAATGTGGGCTTTGGTTAAGGGGCAGGGACTCAGGAGGGCCAATAGTCTGCAAATCCATCAGTTACTTTGGTGTAATGACTTATATAACAGGAGACCAATGAACTGTTAATTTTAAAGAAGGTATAACTGCTTTTTAGTTTCTCTTTTTTACTCTCTGTTCTCTCCAGCTTATTTGTGATGTGTTCACAGTGATTTTTTTAGTCTTCTTTCTCTTCCATTCCACCATTTTAATCTTGTTTTTATATCCTGGTAGGGTCTTAACATGCTTACCTTTTGTTTTATTTAAAAAACTTACTTACATTTTGTTTCAAAGAGAGAGAGAGAGAGTGAGAGTGAGCCCCGCCACAGCCATTGTGGCCATTTGGAAAGTGCACCAGCAGAGGGAAGATATCTTTATCTCTCTCTCTTTCTGTCTTAACTCTTCCTTTCAACAAAAAAAGGTCAATTTAATAGTTATATCCTGATTGAGTTTCCTTCTTTTTTGTTTTTAAAAATATTCTTTTTTTTTTAATTTCAGGAAGAAAGATATAAGTCACAAAGGCCTTTATCGACATCACATAGACCAACATTCCCTTTAAATAATACCAAGATGATGCTAAAGGAGAATAATCTGGACAGGATGCCCACAGGCGTGTACTCCCGGGTCCCCTCTCCATGTTCCATGCGACGCTGCTTCCTGGACCAGCCGGCTCACTTCACTCTTGGAAATAACTTTAAAATCTCAGCAGAAAGCAAGCCTCCATTTGTGGTTAGACATGTGAGCCTAAAGTTACTATTTAAAAAAATTTTTTTTCTACTTGAAATGTGTGTATGTATACATCTGCTCTGGTTCATTCCCCAAATTCCTGCAATAACCAGGTCTGGGCCTGGGCAAAGCAAAGAGGCTGGGCTTCAATATGGGTCTCCCACATGGGTGGCAGGGGCTCAAATACTTTAGCCATCATCACCTGTCTTCCAGGGTGTGTATTAGCAGGAAGCTAGATCAGAAGTAAAGAAGCTGGGACTTGAACCTGCACTTCGATATAGGTTGTGGGCATCCCAGATGGTTGCCACAACACCCACTCCTTAAAGCTGGGAATGGTAAGAGTGTGGATGAGTTCTCTGAAGGGAGGAGAGAACTTCCAATTTGCTCATAGCCTTGTCTAAATACTGATGGAGTTTGTGGATTCGAAAGGCTTCCATAGCCTAGGCAGTGCATTACAAGCGCCTCAGGGGATCACTGATGTCATACAAGAGTGTTAATTGTTAAATTAACAAAAGGAGGCCAGCGTGCAGCTCGCTTGGCTAATCCTCTGCCTGCAGCGCCGGCACCCCAGGTTCTAGTACCCGTTGGGGTGCCGGATTCTGTCCCAGTTGCTCCTCTTCCAGTCCAGCTCTCTGCTGTGGCCCGGGAAGGCAGTGGAGGATGGCCCAAGTCCTAGGGCCCTGTACCTGCAAGGGAGACCAGGAAGAAGCACCTGGACCTTGGCTTCGGATTGGCACAGCGCGCCGGCTGTAGCAACCATTTTGGGGGGTGAACCAATGGAAAAGGAAGACCTTTCTCTCTGTCTCTCTCAGTCTAACTCTGCCTGTCAAAAAAAATTAACAACAGGAGTCACTATGCACTGACTTCCCATGCAGGACCTCTGTCCTCAAAGAATTATATTATAATTATGTCTAAGTGCTTGCAAAAGATGTATCATTCTTGGGTGCTTCTTTAAAGTTAATTAAATTTCTGGAAAAAAAAAAGGGGAATTTAACTTCAAGATGCAATGACTTTGAACAGCCCTCGTTTCGACTGTTGAGGAACAGTTTTTGTTGTTGTTTTCTTTATATATATACATATATATATATATATTTTGACAGGCAGAGTGGACAGTGAGAGAGAGAGACAGAGAGAAAGGTCTTCCCTTTGCCGTTGGTTCACCCTCCAATGGCTGCCGCGGCTGGCACGCTGCGGCCGGTGCACCGCGCTGATCCAATGGCAGGAGCCAGGTACTTCTTCTGGTCTCCCATGGGGTGCAGGGCCCAAGGACTTGGGCCATCCTCCACTGCACTCCCGGGCCACAGCAGAGAGCTGGCCTGGAAGAGGGGCAACCGGGACAGAATCTGGCGCCCCGACCGGGACTAGAACCCGGTGTGCCGGCGCCGCAAGGTGGAGGATTAGCCTACTGAGCCGTGGCACCGGCCGTTGTTTTCTTCGTGCAAATTATTGAACTCTTTACTTAGTATAGAGTTGGTCTTCTGTGTATAAAGTTAATCAAAAATGGATCTTAGTGGAGAATGGGACTGGGGATAGGAGAAGGGGGTCTCAGGAGAAGGGGTGGGAGAGTGGGTGGCAGGGTGGGTATGCTGAGAAGAGTCACTGTATTCCTAAAGTTGTACTTATGAAATGCATGAAGTTTGTATTCCTTAAATAAAAGATTTCTTGGCCGGCGCCACAGCTCAATAGGCTAATCCGCCACCCAGCAGCTCTGGCACACTGGGTTCTAATCCCAGTCAGGACGCCGGATTCTGTCCCGGTTGCCCCCCTTCCAGGCCAGCTCTCTGCTGTGGCCCGGGAGTGCAGTGGAGGATGGCCCAAATCCTTGGGCCCTGCAACCCATGGGAGACCAGGAGAAGCACCTGGCTCCTGCATTGGGATCAGTGTGGTGCACCGGCTGCAGCGCGCTGGCCGCAGTGGCTATTGGAGGGTGAACCAACAGCGAAAGGAAGACCTTTCTCTCTGTCTCTCTCTCTCACTGTCCACTCTGCCTGTCAAAAAAATAAATAAATAAAGTTAAAAAAAAAAAAGGATTTCTTTAGTAGGGGGGAAAGAGTGTGGATGAGGATAGAATAAAGGAAGTGTGGGATATAAACAAAGAGGGAATTCAAATTAAATAATAACTATAATTAAGTTATGTTCATTTCCTGGAATCATTGCAAGGAAACTCCTATAAAGGTATTTTGTACAGAGAACAGAGAACTTGCTAAGTAAATGCCAGCCAACTATGCATTTAATTTTTGAAAATTGTAGTGGAGTGTGATTGTGACATATAACTCACCATTATCCAGAAGAGTCTATGAACTGACAGGAGTTGAAGAAGGACAGCAAAAGCTGGCAAGTACTCTATCAGTCTGAAAGTGAAGCTTCACCAGTTTGAAAGATAACAGCTTCAGTTTTCTTACTGAGATTGGTGCTCTGTGGTGATACTTTGAAGAGCAGGAAAATGTATTTGTAAGAAGCAATGAAAGTTCTTAATTAATGCCATCATAGAATTATTCTGCAGGAAGTGGTGGGCAAATTTAATCACTCTAGAGAGTGGGTGTTTAACATAGTGGTTAAGATGCCAGTTAAGGCTCCTTTTGGGAACCTTTGGAGGTGGAGCCCAAAAGTGGAGTAGAGCGACACAACACTCCTTGGGTAGGGGTGGGCAGTGAGGGAGGGCAGCTCAAAGCCCTGACAAAATAGCACTCTGGCCTCAGAATCAGCCCTAAAGGCATTCGGAGCTGGCTGAAAAGCTCATGAGAGTATTTCAGGCATGGAAAGCCAAGACACTCTGGCAAAAGATCTCTGCGAGTGAGATCCCAGTGGAAAGAACAGGTCATCAAAGAAGGAGGTACCTTTCTCTGAAGGGAGGAGAGAACCTCCACTTTGACTATGAGCTTGTCTAAACAAGATAAGAATCAGAGAACTCAAGGGCTTCCATAGCCTTGGAAACTCATGACTGGAGCATAGGGAGATTACTGATGCCATAGACAGGAGTGTCAATTGGTAAAGTCAACAACAGGAGTCACTGTGCACTTACTCCTCATGTAGGATCTCTGTCCTTAATGTGCTGTACATTGAGATTTAATGCTATAACGAGTACTCAAATAATATATTTCACTTTGTGTTTCTATGGGGGTGCAAACTGTTGAAATCCTTACTTAATGCATACTAAACTGATCCTCTGTAAAAAAAAAAAAAAAAAAAAAAAAGAAATTATCAATTCCCAACTTGACTCTCACTGGGATTAAACATGACAATAGGTCTGATCTGATTTCATCATCATTTTAAAAAATCATCTATTATTTTTCACTTTATGTTTCTGTGTGGGAGCAAACTGTTGAAATCCATACTTAATGTATACTAAGCTGATCTTCTGTATATTAAGATAATCGAAAATGAATCTTGATGTGAATGGAAGGGGAGAGGGAGTGGGAAAGGGGAGGGGTGTGGGTGGGAGGGACGGTATGGGGGGAAAGCCATTGTAATCCATAAGTCGTACTTTGGAAATTTATATGCATTAAATAAAAGTTTAAAAAAATAAATAAATAAATAAATAAATAAATGAGTAAAATATAAAGTCTAGAAGGCAGAGCAGCCTGCTTACACTGGATATTGGTACAGACTCACAGCAGCTGATAGCAGAGGGAAATCAACCTGAAAAACCTGCCAGACGGAATGCCAAAAAACAAAACAAAACCCACAATAAGAATATAGAAGAACATATAAACTCACCAATGGAGCAGGCTAAACCAACCATAACAGAGGCTGAAGAAGAAGGAGAATTTGAAACTATGCCAGAAAAAGAATTCAGAAAATTAACAATCAGATTACTTAGAAATAATGAGAAACAGTGTCGAGAGCTGAACGAAAAGCAAGCCCAAGGATTAGAGATCCTAAAGAGAAGCCAGAATGAAATACTAGAAATGAAAACCTCAATTGACCATATAAAAAACACCGTGGAATCCCTCAGAAATCGAACAGATGAAATAGAAGAGCGAATATCAGAATTCGAAGACAAACTTCCAGAAATAATACAGTCAGTTCAAACGCAGGAAGAAGAAATTAAAAAATTAAAAAATATGGTCGGAGACCTACAAGATTCAGTCAAACGGTGTAATGTGAAAATGATAACACAACCTATCAAAACCTGTGGGACACAGCAAAAGCAGTGCTAAGAGGAAAGTTTATAGCAATTGGTGCCTACATCAAGAAGCTGGAAAGGAACCAAACAAATGAACTCTCCATGCGTCTCAAGGATTTAGAAAAACAGCAGCAAATCAAGCCCAAATCCGGAAGGAGAAAAGAAATACTAAAGATTAGAGAAGAAATAAACAGAATTGAAACAAAACAAAACAAAAAAAGATCAACAAAACCAGGAGCTGGTTCTTTGAAAAAATAAACAAAATCGACACACCATTGGCCCAACTAACCAAAAAAAGGAGAGAGAAGACCCAAATCTGTAAAATCAAAGATAGTAATGGAAATGTAACAACAGACACAACAGAAATAAAAAGAATTATCAAAAACCACTACAAAGAGATGTATGCTAACAAATTGGGGAACCAGGAAGAAATGGATAGATTCCTGTAAACATAACAACCTTCCTAAACTGAGCCATGAAGATATAGAAAATCTAAACAGACCCATAACCATGGAAGAAATTGATTCAGTAATAAACACACTATCGAAAAAGAAGAGCCCAGGACAGATGGCTTCACCGCCGAATTTTACCAGACATTTAGAGAACAACTAACCCCAGTTCTTCTCAAGTTATTCAAAACAATTGGAAGGGGGGGAATCCTCCCAAATTCTTTCTACGAAGCCAATATCACCTTAATTCCTAAGCCCGGAAAAGACACAACAGAGAAAGAAAACTACAGACCTATCTCCCTGATGAACATAGATGCAAAAATACTCAGCAAAATTCTGGCAAACCGAATCCAGCTGCACGTCAGAAAGATCATTCACCCAGACCAAGTGGGATTTATCCCTGGTATGCAGGGATGGTTCAATATTCGAAAGTCAAT